CGCTCTTCCTTCCTTCCCCACTACGTTCCACATAACAATCAAACGAGTTTCCATGATTGATGTACGCCTACAATAAGTATATGTCTCATGTACATATAACGTAACAGCAAATAAACAGTCTTTGACAAGCTGACCCTTTTGGAAAGGTTTGTCGGCTTGAATGCAAGTATATTGAATATGCGACTAAAAAATGTGACAGTCTTGATCGAACAATCCGGTGATACTACTTATTATGCATGTGCGTTTCTATTTTCCAGCGATAGAAAAAAAGTACAGTATTTTTATAATATTGAACTAATAAAGTTTGCATATATAACTACTTCATTTTTTATCACAAATATATAGCTATACAATGTAACTTCACTTACTTGTCAATCTGGAGCAAAACTTTAATTTTTTATAAAAATTCGACGGTAACTCATTATCTTAATTAAATCTAATTTTTCTCATTATTGAAATTAACAATATTAGGTAATTATTGAAATTAAAAGTAAAATATATTATTTTGATTGAATATATATATGGCACTTATATAATTATTTTATTATATCGGCTATAATGAAAATGTAAATTAATTGCAAAGGGCAAAGAAATCGGGCGAAAATGAGAGATAAATGTTGCTTCGAAAATACGCTTGTGTTCATCATTCAACGGATTATAGAAAAACCAACTAATCTGTTTTATAAGTTTTTTCCACGGAAAATTATACGCAACTTAATTTATAAACCTATACGTATATATATGCTTTTTCCTCAAATCTTTCAATCGCATTTGATAAAATGTAGATCGCACATACGTGATTTCATGCCGAAACTGAATTACTATATCTTAAACTCTGCTACTACTCCTTTTAATAGACCAGTGCGCAGACTTCTATATATGGTAGATTGAAATCAACTATATATAGTGTAATCAACCAGGCTGTTAATCGATACTTATCTTTGAAGAGAAAGCTACAATATTTTATATAAAAGTTTTGATTTTTATAAATATTTGATACACATTTAATAACATAAAAATATAGTTTAAATTAAAAATTATATTTAACCTGATAGAAAAGTCTAGTTAATGTTTCTAAAAAAATAAGAGAAACAGATTATATGTACTTATTGAAAAAATTTGATATTTCTTCCTTTAGAATATCTACTTGAACAGCCTAGTATGCTACAAGTCATTGTCGTTTTTATTCTTATATGTGCATTATATATACACTTAATATTATTTAGTTTATTTTTACTTTAAAATGTTTTAAACATATATGTTTAAAACGAATGAATAGCATTTAAATGACATATATCGAATTCTGCAATGCCCGGTATGACATTCTGCCCAATTGTAAACGACTACCCTTGTTTCACATTTCATTATATGAGACATAGCAGTGTATTAGTAGTCTAGTATATTGTATATAGAAGTCTGTGAACCAGTGTTTTCTTATTCTTTTCTCTGAGATAAAAACCATTAAAAACAAATCATTCCACCCCATATTTGTTATAATTAAAACCTAACTTACTTTTATCTAAAACAGCAATACAGAATTAAACACGCAATATTGCAACAAGAACTCTCTTTTCTTCTCGTTTACCCATTCATATTACAACATTCATATCAATTGTACTTAATGATGTAGTATCATGCACCCAAAAAAAATTTTCATAAAATATGTATATTTTAACGAATGAATATGTAAAAATATTGATAATAAAATAAAATTTTATTGCTTTTATAATTATGCCTCATTTTAAACAATATAAAATATTAATATATTGTTATTTTTTATAATTTTCAATATATTTTTATTCAAATTTTCATTATTGCACTATATATACTGTAATCACCATTGATTCATTCATTGAAGGACGCTAGCACCGTAAAATATGACATTGCGGCTTGCAGGATCTATTAAAAAAATTTACAATTTTAAATTTGTCTGATAAAATATGTTACATATATAGAATATTCATGTCTGAATCTTTATAATATTGTAATATCTATCATATATTACGATAAATGCTTTACCGTTGTGAAATTTTGCAAAGAATATACATATATCTGGCAGGCAGTCACAGTACTGGCTTCGATGCCTTTTCTCATCACGATCAAGAACATTTTTTGCCTCTTGACAGGTATTTTATACCACGCATTATTGTAACTATAAAATTAATGTACGACGATTATTCGTAAATTAACATCCGGTAGGCTTGCATAATAACACAAGAAACAAGAAAAAACTTTTATTATACACAATGTAAACGTAATAAATATAACAATACAATAGTAATCACAAGAAGCGATTAAATTCAAAAAAATATTTTAATACGAAAAGTAAATTTCTTATATCGATTAAAACAATTTGCAACTCTGATATTAACTTACATCTTGTCACGAATATCGATACTGTGATCCATCAGTTTCTGTCCTTGGAGACTAAAGCAGAACAAGTAATATAATTGAGCAACAATAAAGAGAAAATATCTTGTCGCTTCCGCTATATTAAGATGCAACTGAGTCGAGACCTTAAGTGAATACATGCATTTTTAGACCTGCATCATATTTTTCAGAATTCTCATATATGAAACTAATTGCAAATAACTTACTTGCAATAAAGTAATGCTAACAGCAACCGTAACTATTGTAAGTTGTATAGCGAATGATATCGAAAATACACTTTCAATGAGTTTCGCAAATCTATAGGAAGAATAAAACAGATAAATAAAATTTATAAATTTATCATCTGTCGTGAGTATTAAGGATTGTTTATTAAATGACATTAAAATTAATAAAAAAAAAAAATTTTTCGCTTTTATCAAGATATGGTTACAAACTCACTGTAGAGCTTTTCGATGAATATGAATTGAAAATACAAAATGTTTATGATATACATCGTCCAGAAAATCAATCGGGCTTCTGTTCGCGACGTTACATTTATACGTCATATGTTCAAATCTAAATCTACAAATATCCAGGAAAAAAGTATCATTATAAATTTTGAAAAATTTGTAATTTTTTGTCTTGTAAGTGAACATACGAGAAAAAGAAATTATTATAAAATTTGATTTATCTCCTAAATATAAGATATATACCATTGTTTGCAAAATATAAATAATTATAATATAATACCCAACCACTGCGAAAAGACCGCAGACGTGATTGATGTAAGTAAAGAACATACAATCGTGTGCGATTAATCCCGTCACAGATATCACAAGGATAATTAGCATATCGCAAAAAATATAGTAGTAATATATCTCTTCGTCAACGAAATAGTACGCTGGCCATATTAACATTATTGGACGTGAAGTATTTAGAGGAAAGACTGCATCCATGATACGTGGCCAGAAACAAGTTGCTCCAAATGAAACAGCAGTTACATACAAGTACGCTACAATAAAAGTCACCATTTCGTAAAAAACTGATGTCTGCTCTCAGAAATGTTTATATTTATATAAATGTTTAATAAGTTTTTATACAAGGTGTCCGACATGTAAGTAATCAAACGAAAGGTGGAGATAGATTGGATCAAACTGAGTCGAAAAGTCCTGAACCATTCTTTTTTATAACGCTTAATAAAGGAGTTATTATTGAGTAAAGTTCTTTCGTTTGGCTACTTACATGTCGGACACCCTGTATATACATCCTTATTATAATAAAAGCCAGTTGAATGTTTCTCCGCGTTATCTCTTTAAAAAATTTCTTAAATAAAAACAGAAGAGTTACTTGCAGGAATATATCAACACGTATCGCCTGCCATTCTCGGCATACTTTTTCATAATCTCACGTTCTTCCTGAGTCTTGAAAATATCCCAGTTTTCGAATAACTGATCAGTGAGATTTTTAATCTAAAAACACATCATCGATATTTGATATCTTGGATACAGTATTTTTAACAGCTATAAAAACATATAAATAAAATCAAAATAAGATTTTATAATTCGTGTCTATAGTTTAAAATTAAATACAGTTTATATGTAAAATGATGTTGAGATAAAATATACTTTCTGATTGTTAAAGCGAAATGTGAGCACTTTCACCAGAATATTCCACATTAAGATATGTGTAGGTAAAGCTTCAAAAATACATTGTTCGTCTTCGCACATCAAAAGTTTTGCTATCTGTAAAATGTACTTATCATTTATAAAAAAAACAAAAATTTTAAAAGCATGAAATGCCTTAAAACTTCGAACAATCTATTTAATATAACACAGAATCTGATTCAATATTAAACACTCAAAAAATTCTCTTGTCAATAATTAACATTACCTGCGTAATGAAACTATTAATCAAACATGTGAATACCAAAGCCAAAAAAAATAGTCTCGCTTTTGGCTTCTGATAAGGCCACTGACCGATTATTGATAAAAATCTTCTATTAATATCATAATAATAATCTCTTTTATGTTTCATACTTTTCGAGAAATGTTTTCTATTCCACGCCAGAACCACGTTTGATTATTCGATAGATACCTTAGAAAACCTTTTACGCGCTCGCGTGTAGCGGAGAACAAATTAATATTTCATATAACCCTTCCGCTCTTTCTTCCTTCCCCACTACATTTCGCATAGCAATAAAACGAGTTTCCATGATTGATATACACTTACAATAAGTATATGTCTCGTATATGTCACATATAAAGTAACAGCAAATAAATAGCCTTTGACAAGCTGACCCTTTTGGAAAAGTCCGTCGACTTCAACGTAAATACATTGAATATGTGATAAAAAAATATGACAGTGTCTTAATCGAACAGTTTGGAAATACTATTTGTTGTGAGTGTGCGGTTCAATTCTTCACCGATAGAAAAGTACATTATTCCTATAATATTTGACTAGTAAAGTTTGCGTATATATAACTACTTCATTTTTTCATTATAAATATCTTGCTGTACAATGTAGCTTTATTTACTTGTCAATCTGAAGTAAAACTGATTACTTCATAAAAATTTGACGGTAACTCATTATTTTAATTAATTTTTGTCATTATTAAAATTAAAAATAAAATTTTATTCTGGTAGAATATATATGGCACTTATGAAATTATTTTCTTTATGTTACTAAATACTCGTACTATAGATATCTATAATTATATAAATAATACTGCGTGCAGCTAATAATAGCAATAAATAAATAATAATGAGTAGTATTACGCAACTAGAAAAAGAAAACTATAGTAATACGTATATTGTAGATTGTTGAGTGAATTGTTGAGTAGATATGTATAGAAATATCGATAACAAAATAAAATTTTTTTGTTTTTAGGTTGACATATTTTAAACAATATAAAATATAAATATATTAATTCTAATATAATTTGGAATACTATACTCCTGCAGGACTTTTCAGCATTATTTCACTACGTATGCTATATCACCGTCAAGTCATTCACTGAAGGATGCTAGCACCGTAAAGTAAGACATCGCTGATTGCAGAACCTATATTAAAAAAATTAAAATTTGTATGTTTTTGTCTGTGTGTGTGATTATACAATATGTTACATACGTATATTATTTATGGGCCTATTCTTATGGTATTGCAATATCTTTCACAATAATTACATTACCGTTGTGAAATTTTGCAAAGAAAATACATATATCTTGCAGGCAGTTAAAGTACTGGCTTCGATGCTTTTTCTCATAGTAAACAAAAGCAATTTTTGTCCCTTCACAGGTATCTCATACCACGCGCTATTATATCTACAAAATTAACATTTAACAAAGATTATGCAATAAATATTACAATGTACAATAATAATTATAAAAAGTGATTAATATTCTTTAAATATTTTATATAGAAAGGAAAATTTCTATATGAACCAAAGTTAATTTAATCGAACTGTGATATTATCTTACATCTTGTCACAAATTTCGATACTATGATCTATCAGTTTTTGTCCTTGAAAGCTGAAGCAGAATAAGTGGAATAATTGAGCAAGTATGTAGACGAAGTATCTCATCGCTTCCATTAAATCATTCAACTGCATCGAGAACTTAAGTAAAATCACATGTTTTAGTTCTACATTATATTTTTTTATTCTCTCATATATTTATTTAATTATAAATAACTTACTTGAAGTAAACTAACACTAATAGACATTGTAGATATCATAAGTTGAATGGCGAATGGTACGGAAAAAGCATTTTCAATGAGTTTTGCAAATCTATAGTAAAAATATAATAATAAACACAGTTAAATAAAACTTATAAACATATCGTGATTATTAAAAATTGTTTATAATATCGTTTAAAAATTCCTGAAAGAAATCACGATATTGTTATAAACTTACTGCAGAGCTTCTCGATGAGCATGAATCGAAAATGTAATATTTTTATGATATAAATTATCCGGACAATCAATCAGACTACTTCTCGCGATATCACATTTGTCTAATGCATTTTTAAATCTAAATCTGAAAATATCCAGGCACAATACATCGTTATAATTTTTGCAAAATTTATTGATTTTGTAATTGAACGTATGAGAAAAAAAGAATTATATATTTTCTGAGTATAAATTATAAAATATATCGTTAAATAATATATCGTTAAATAATATATCGTAAAGATATCGTTTGCAAAGTATATAAATAATCATTACCCGACCACTGCAAAAAGGCCGCAAACGTGTTCGATGTAAATAAAAAACATGCAATCGTGCGCAATTAATCCGGTCATACATATCAAGGCAGTAATTAACATATGGCAAAAAATAAAATAGAAATATTGCTCTTCGTTAACGAAATAATGCGCTGGATATGCTAACATTATTGGACGTGAAGTATTTAAAGGAAATACGATGTCCATGATACGTGGTACGAGAGAAGTTGTTATAAATGAAACGGTAGATACATAACAGTACGCTGCAACAAGAGAGAATTTCGTCAACAATAGATGTCTACTATTTCACAGACGTTTAAATTTATACGATCGTTTAATACGTTTCTATGCATCCTTATTGTAATTAATGTTGAACGCAAACGGCTGCTCACGCTCATATTTGTTTCTACAGAAAAAAGTTTTTAATTAAAAATAACGGAGTTACTTGCAGGCATATATCAACGAGTACCACCTGCCATTCTCGGCATATTTTTTCAGAATCTCACGTTCTTCCTGAGTCTCAAGAGTATCCCAGTCTACGAATAAGTGATCAGTGAGATCTTTAATCTACAAACATCACCGATACATTTGATATCTTGAATATAATATTCTCAACAGCTACAAAAATATAAGCAAAAATCAAAACAAAGAATTTGCAATTCGCATTTATAGTTTCAAATTAGATATATAGCCAAGTTACACTGATAGAACGTACTTTCTCGCTGTTAAATCGATATGCGAGCACTTTTACTAGAGAATTCCATACCAACAAATGGGGAGGTAAAGTTTGAAAGATACACTGTGTATCTTCGCATACAAAAATTTGTGCTATCTGGAAAATGTATTTGCATGCACTTGCTTACATTGAAAAAGCGTATAAATATCAAAAACATACTAACAATCACTTCCATTATATAAGATAATGTCGTGAGATAAAATCTCAACGAAGTTACATGCTGAAAAAATTTTCTTGTCGATAATGTTACCTGTGTAAAAAGACAATTAGCCAAAACTATGACTACCAAAGCCAAAAAGGATAATCTCATTCTCGGCTTCTGATAAGGCCACTGACCGATCATCCACAAGTATCTTTTACCAATATCGTAATAATAATTCCTATTCTGTTCCATATTTTTCAACGAAATAATATCTGTTTGCCACAACAACATCGCTCGAATATCTGATGTAAACTCTCCCTCGCGCAGTCTTTCCCGTCGCGGAGAATAAATTAATATTTCATATAACGCTCCCGCTCTTCCTATTATGTTCGACATAGCAATCAAACGAGTTTCCATGACTGACATACACCTACAATAACTATATGTCTCGTATAAATATAATGTAAGCGAAAATGAATAGCGTTTAACAAGCTGACCCTTTTAGAAATGATCGTCGACTTGAACGCAAGTGTATTGAATGTGCGACTAAAAAATGTGATAATATTAATCATATCGAATAGTCCAGTGATGCTACTTATTGTGCATGCGGTCCAATTTTTAGCAACGGAAAAGAGTACGGTTTTCTTATTAATATTCGATTGCCTAGTGAAGTTTACATATACCAGCTGCTTTTTCTCAATCATAAAATTTCTATTGTACAATGTTGTTTTACTTACCTGTTAATCTGGAGAAATTTGATTTCTTCATTAATTTTCAACAGTAATTTGAGTATATTAATTAATTTTTATCATTATTGACAAATTAGAAGTAAAATATTATATCCGTTAAAATATGTATGGAGCTTATATAATTATTTTATTGTTTATGTTGCACTAAATGCTATTCTCGTAAAAATATATAATTATATAAATAATAATGTGTACCATGTGTACGTGAATTCGTAAATGATCATCGTCGAGTTATTCACTGAAGGATGCTAGCACAGTAAAGTACGATACCGCGGTTTGCAGAACCTAAATTAGAATAATCAAAAATTTTACATTTAACTGATTATACAATATGTTACATATATGTATTGGGTTAAACGGAAAGTTCGTGCCGTTTTTTCGGTCTTCATCTGTTAGCAAAAAACGAAACGAACTTTCCGTTCAACCTAATACAATATTTATGTGCCTATCTTTATCATATTGTTATATCTCATCACGATAAATGCTTTACCATTGTGAAATTTTGCAAAGAAAATACATATATCTTGCAGGCAGTCACAGTACTGGCTCTGGTGCTTTTTCTCATCGTAATCAAAAGCAATTTCTGTTCCTTTACGGGTATCTCATACCACGCGCTATTATATCTACAAAATTAACATTTAATACAAATGCAATAAATCTTATAATGTACAATAATAATTATAAAAAATGATTAAATTTCTGTAAATAATCTATATAGAAAATAGATCTTCTACATCGACCAAAACTAATTTATTATCTGATTTCTTACTTTGATAATATCTTACATTTTGTCACAAATATTGAGACTATGATCTATCAGTTTTTTCCCTTGAAAGCTGAAGCAAAACAAGTGGAATAATTGAGCAAGTATGTAAAGGAAGTGTTTCATCTTTTCAATTAAACCAATGAACTGCATCGAAAGCTTAAATAATATCATATGTTTTAGTCCAGCAATATATTTTTCAGGACTCTCATATATGTAGTGATATAAATGTAAATAATTTACTTGCAGTAAGGTAACGCTAAGACCAATCGTAACTATTATGAGTTGCAGAGCGAATGATATCGAAAAGATATTTTCAATAAGTTCCGCGCACCTATAAAAATGATACAAGAATAATGAGTTAAATAAAATACATAAATCGTGATTATTAAAAAATGTTCATTAAATAGCTTTAAAATTGATGAGACAAATTCATCACGATATCGTTTCAAACTTACTGCAGAGTTTCTCGATAAGCCTGAATTGATAATGCAATATTTTTATGACAAACATCATCAGAGCAATCAATCAGACTGCTTCTCGCGATGTTACGTTTATATAATACATGTTCAAATCTAAATCTGCAAATATCCAGGCATAAAAAATCTTTATAAATTTTAGAGAATTTTTAATTTTTGCTTATCAAACAAACATACAAGACAAAAAAAATTATCATTAAAGAATTGTATTTATTTTTTGCCAAGTTATCTTCATTAATATAATAATATATTTAATAATATATATTTTGCCAATATAACTATTTGTATTTATAAATAATTACCCGACCACTTCAAAAAGGCCGCAAACGTGTTGGATGTAAATAAAGAACATGCAGTCGTGCGCGATTAATCCGGTTATACATACGAAGGTACAAATCATCAAGTGGCAAAAAATGTAATAGAAATATTGCTCTTCGTCAACGAAATAGTACGCTGGACATACTAACATTATTGGACGTGAAGTATTTAGGGGAAAGACTGCATCCATGATACGTGGTATGAGAGAAGATGCTGTAAATGATATAGCAGTTACATATACGTATGCTGCAACAAAAATAAATTTCGTCAAGACTAGATGTCTACTATTTCATAGACTAAAGTCATAGATTTAAATTTATATGAACGTTTAATATAATATTTTCTATGCATTCTTATTATAATTAATATCGGACAAACAAACTAGCACTCATATTTATCTCTATAAAAAAAAAATTTTTAATTAAAAATAACGAAGTTACTTGCAGGAATATATCAATGAGTACCATCTGCCATTCTCGGCATATTTTTTCAGAATCTCACATTCCTCCTGACTTTTAAGAATATTCCAGTCTAGGAATAAATGATCAGTGAGATCTTTAATCTATAAACGTCACCGATATATTTGATATCTTGAATATAATATTCTCAACAAATACAAAATTATATAAGCAAATATTAAAACTTAAATTTTGCATTCACATCTATAGTTTTGAATTAAACATGTAACCAAGTTACACTGATAAAACATACTTTCTGGCTGTTAAATCGATATGTAAACACTTTCACTAGAGAATTCCACACTAACAAATGTACAGGTAAAATTTGTAAGATACACTGTATGTCTCCGCAAATGAACATTTGTGCTACCTAAAAAGTATATACTTGCATGCATTCACGCATGAAAAAACGTAAATTTTAAAAATATATGACATAATCCAAATATTCTGTTCAATACAGCATATCAAATTTCAGCAAAGTATCGAAAAATTTTCTTTTGTCGATAATGTTACCTGTGTAAAGATACAACTGAGCAAAACTATCAATATCAAAACCAAAAAGGATAGTCTCGTTCTCGGATTCTGGTAAGGCCACTGACCGGTCATCCACAAGAATCTTTTAGCAATATCGTAATAATAATTTCTGTTGTGTTCCATATTTTTCAATGAAATAATATCTGTTTGCCACAACATCGCTCGAATATCTCTGTAAACCCTCCCTCGTGCACTTTTTTCCGTCGCGGAGAATAAATTAATATTTCATATAACGCTTC